ATTCTATTCTATTCTATTCTATTCTATTCTATTCTATTCTATTCTATGTAACCCAAGTGATGCTGTGGCTGTCGTTTTGCAGTGCCTGAAGACTGGGTGGGGGGTGGGGAGCTAGATGAGGGATAATAGGCTTTAACCGAACCCTGGCAAAACCAAATGGCTTTGAGGATGTGGGGCTCTGGGATCCGGGACTTTGCCATCTTTAACTCTGGATAGGGTGGCACTGGATGCTACATTCTAACCACTGTGATAGCTTCTAAGTTCACAGCTTAGACAGACTGTATCTGAACATTATTAATCTGTCAAAGATCAAGGCACCCATGTTTGAAAGGAAGAATGAAGTGTACAATTCTAATTATATGTTAACAATGAAATACTAGAGTATGTACATGAGACTGTATACAAGTATATGATTATTAAAAATGGGACTAAAGATGGAAGATTTAAAATCATTCACATGCTGATAGAATTGTAATGACGAATATACAGTCTTCTGCAAGGAATTAATTTCAGTTGAAACAGCTGGTCCTACAAATATTCTCCGTACTTATCTCCTCTGTTATAAATATAAAGTAAGCTGGTTAGAGTGGAAATGGGATGCTTAAGAAATATGTATGGTAAAATGAGATAAGGCAATGAAAAAACTGTTGTTGAATGAATGTGGACTGAATACAAAAGTAACTGATCAATACAACAAAAAAACATTCAGGTGGTTTTGTTAGCAATAATGAATGAGGATCCAATTGCCGAATAAATATCTGGAACAAGAGAGTAAATCACAAGAAAGAAGAACAGGTACAGTGAATGGTGGTGATATCAACTAATTTTAGTTATATCTCAAATTCCTTTTTCTCATTTCATGCCTTTATTCTTTGGTTTGATATTTTTCACTCCTTTTCTGCATTCTTCTGTAAAGCACATACCTTGAACAGAATGATGGGGATACATAGTCAAACTAATCAGATTTGTATAATTCATATTAAATATATTTTAGTGAAATTGTAATAATTACAACAACTAGCTATAATGTTTTAAAGGAGTCTATTATGTTAGCACATATATATTACAGTGGAGCATACTTTCCAAAGAAACTGAGGTCAATGTTTTG